GGGAGAGGCCACGACAGTGGCCTCTCCCGTTGAGGAGCACAGGCTCCGGATGCGCAGGCTCAGCGGCCATGGCTCACGGGCCCAGCCGCTCTGCGGCATGTGGGATCTTCCCGGACCAGGGCACGAACCCGTGTCCCCTGCATCAGCAGGCGGACTCTCAACCACTGCGCCAGCAAGGAAGCCCCCCAAAATTTTTTGCTTGCCATTTTCCCCCATCTTTCTCTTGTTCTAAATACCAAGTATGATATTGATCCTTTAAATTGATATCAGACATATAAGTAAGCAGAAACAATATTGCATAATAGCATTTACTCACAAAATTTCCATTTATCACTGGCTAGAAATATAACATCACTTATATTAAAATTACATTTTTCCTCTGTGAACTGTGTTAATTGTGCTGTTCCACTAAAGATGAGGAAATGAAAGAATACAGCAAATACTTACACACACGGAAATATGAAATCAACAGCAGATTGGGATTACACCTGAGATTCCCAGGGCTCTCAAGATCATTTGTAACATAAATTAGTGAGAGTAATTTAAAACAGATGTGGGATTACACTCGCTTTGTAATAGATCTAACAATACTAGAGGAAAGTGCAGGAGAAATTATTCTGGAATTGGATACTCCATGTGGCTGAAGAAGTTCAGCAATAGGCACGTGGGTGTTATTATCTCCAAGTGTTTTGAAAACACCATTGTATCCAACCCACAGTCTTGTTCAGCAGTGAAACTGAACAAAAGACATTCTTAACCTTTTGGGGGCACAGAATTCTTTGCCTTACTGATGAGATTCGAGGATACAGACCTATGCACATGACATTTGCTATACTTTGATGTTCATGATCCCTCTGCAGCTCACCTAAGGAAGACCTGAGGCTCTGTAGACTTTAGGTGATAAATCCCTAGGCCCTAAGGTGCACTCAAACTGGACCAGCTAATGGACCCAATTTACCTTACAAATAATGGGTACCATCACCTGTCAATCTTCACTGCCCCTTTAAAATGTTAGGACTGTCTTAGTAATTGCCCAGTACAGTGAAGTTTTGTGGGTTTTTTTTTTTTGGCCCTGCCACACAGCTTGTGGGATCTTAAGACCAAGGACTGAACCTAGCGAAAGCACAGAGTCCTAACCCCTGGACTGCCAGGGAATTCCCTACAGTGAAGAATTTCTAATGAAAATAATGGAAAGAGGGAATTCCCTTCTAGTTGCTAGATGGGATTCTGCCCTATTCATGAATTGCCTAATAAAGCCAATTCAAAATAAGTCTTAAAAAATAAAAATAAATGAATGGAAAGAT